TGTCCCGTCTTCCTCCCTTCATCTCCAACCAGTCTCGGCAGATGGTCGCCTCTCCCTGATCCCGGTTCTGCTCCTTCCTGTTAAAAGGGAGTTTTTCCTTCCCGCTGTCACCAAGTGCTTGCTCATAGGGCGACGTTTGATTGTGATGTCTTTACCTTACAATAATACGAATGAAGAGTTATAAGCTGCATTCGTAATCTGTACTGGCACATACCACAGGCACATGCTAAATGCATGCTAAGTCGCAGACTAATAAAATGGTAGAATTACTTCTTCTTCTACTTGGACCGGCTCCACATCATAGCAAGCCAGATTATTTTAATATTTCAATTAAAACAAGGCAGAAAGGCACCAGCAGCACAAACACAGAGTTCCAGTTCAGTACCTTCAATTACTCCTTAGTAATCAAGCAATCCCCTCACTCCACTCCAAGCCTTCACAATGTCCGAGTGCATGAACCAAGTTGAGTTGATATGAGGACGGAAACTATAGAGACTAAAAAACAGGCTGTAAACATGCTTTTGAACGCTGTAAAGTCGAACATTTCAACTAAGGAGTCTGTGGTTATTGTTTCACTTTTACAGACAGCCTCAAGTGGCTGTTAAGGGAACTGCAGTTTCTGACACATGCCCACAGTTTGCCTCCTGGTTTACCTACAGATTACAAAGGATTTAGCACTGTATCAACAGTGAGAGATCAAGTGGTTAAACAGTGCGCTGTAAGTGAAATGGAAATAAGTGTGAGCAGCTTCACATGTCAGGCATCTTCAAATAAATCGCACACTGTTCAAATGGATGCAGGCAGAGTTTAATCCAGTAAGTGACATCCTGATGCTCCTCGGCACGCTGACTGTCAGATGAGTTCACAGGAACACATTCCACAGGCTTTTGCTCTGCTTTTTGTAGACAATGCTGACCTTTTTATATTTCCACTCCTCCGTGTGTGTGTGCACGTGTCCTCAGAATGGTACACCTTGAGCTCACTTTGTGGAAACTCCACTTTCCTCCTGTCAGTCTAAATTAGTTAAGTGTTCTATGTGTGTGTCTGTGTGTGTGTTTCTGTGAGCTTGTGTGTGCAGTCTGAGATATATGATGCTATTTCAGATGCACACAAATAGTTATTTACAGCTGATTTGTGTTTATTGTTGGAGTTATAAAGATACAGAAAAAGTAAAAGACTGTATGCTTGTTAATTTGTGCGTCTGTGTGTGCGTCTGTGTGTCTAAGGTTGTTTGCATTATCAGTGGAAGCAAATGGGTCGGCAGGATTAAAACATCATCTTAGAAACAGGAAAACTTTGTCTAATCCTCTCCGTGCTTTGTCTCTGCGCCCAAAATAACACACACGTAATTTATCTCAAACTCACATCGACTTCAACACTTTGACAGCACACACAATATCCCATCAGACGTGATGATACACACACGTACGCCGCTTAGAATAACAGTCGCACACAATATCCCTACCCTCACTTCAGACACACACACGCACACAATGAGATTAAAATAACAGGGCAGAAGTGGAAGCGGACACATTAATGATATTATAGTTATTCAAGACGCCATGGTTTCCATGGCAGCTGAAAGTGACGGGGACACTGAGCGATACAAACATCAGTCACCCCGCTGAGTCACACTGGAGTAATATGTGTGTGTGCGTGTGTGTGTGCGTGTGTGCGCTTCAACTCAGTTCATTGACTCCTGATGAGGTGCTGTGGCCCTTTCAGATTTATAACCTCTCTCTGTCTCTCTCTCTTTTTGTTTCTGGTTGGCATGGAATAAGAGGAAACACACACACACACACACACACACACACACTGTGACCGTCCATGACACGTGGGGTCAACAGGCTAATAGTTTTATGACTCCGTGTGTGTATAGGTGAGGGGTTCACGGTGATGATGTCACACATTCCATTTTCCATTGACATAACTGGAGTGGGAATGTTTGGGGTAGAGGGGCCATATTGATAATTGTGTTTTCCTAAGAAGGTGTGTGTGTGTGTGAGAGAGAGAGAAGAGTGTGTGAGGCTGCACACACTGGAAGCACCGATGTTCTCAGGGGTTGAACTGCTTTGCACTACCATGGAGATATAACCGCTTATGTCATTCAAATAAAGTGTTCACAGTGTCCTTGTAGTGAGAAACGTTACCATGTTTTAGCTACAAACTCAAAGTCATGATAAAAGTGAAATCCATGCATGTCTTGTCAATAATGCACATGATAATATTGTCATTAATATTATTACAGTTATAGTTACAGAATATCTCTCCATCCCAGACAGCGTCATTACTATTTTATATTTCTAATTTTCTAATGATGTATTGATATATTTTGCAATGTTGTTTTCAGTGTTGTTCACAGTGAGACACTGTAGGTGTCTTTAAAAGCCAGGGAGCAGAAGCTGCAAGGAAGAAAAGCCCAGCTTTCTAACTTTTGCCTACAAGCAACAGGCTTGAAATTTTAAAAATGTTTCTAATCTATGTATATTTTTATTTATTGATTCCTTATAGTGCAAATCAGCCGATTCTTTTCTAAAGCCATTTTTTTGATTGTGGTGTATAAATTATCATTTGCTATTGTAAAGTAAAATAAAATAATTCCACTAAATAACTTACAGTAAACATTTTTTTTTAAATTTAAAAAAAAAGTTTAAACAGAATCATATTTTTAATGCTAAAATATAATAATTGCTATTATCAGTGAATTTTAAAATCTGTGCTTTTACAAAAAGCAGTTTATTAAGATGCCAAAAATGATTACAGTCTTTAAAATTATGGCTTTACTGAACAGGAAAATCAGATTTACTGGTTAAATCTAATGTTTCATTAATTTCTCAAAGAAGTCCAGCATGTGGACTAAATATAAAAATGTGACTTTAGTAAGTTAGTAATTTGTTTTAAACCAATTTAAAGTTCTAAAGTATTAGTGTTTTTATGGCTGATGGTCTAAATCTTTTGATAAGACTCATGGGACTTGGTATTTTTGCATTTTCTCTCCACATTTATCTATAAGTAAATCACAGAGCAGAATCTTTGAAGGCACATATAGAAAGCAAAGTTTTGATAAGAGCACAGAGCAGCCCTCCTGTCTTACTCACTGTTGTTACCTTCAGAAATTGCTTGCAGAGTTTCACCTTCTGACATCTTTTGATCTCGAGTGACAGTTTCACTCAGAAACATCTGTTCAAAGAACCCAAACCAAAGTTAAGTTTCATTGACTTTATTGACTTCTTAAAATCGTCTCTACTGGCACAGTATCCAGTTCTGTCAGGGGCATAGATGGCTTTAAAAGGTCCACAGTTGTATAGCCTAACATCAGTGGTCGACTCGGGTCCCAGATTCTTTCTCACAGCATTAAATAAAACTCAATGAAAAACCAAAGACATTAAAGCATCCCTCGGGAACCTTTTTAAAGATTTACACAGCCATCAGCGGTCTGATCTGGCAGTTTGGGACATTAGCGACATGTTGCTGAAGCTGCTGTTAAAAATCCAACTAATAATCTGGGAGTCTGTTAAAAGGATGTCTTTACCTGCTGGAGTTTGGATGAGGGTGGTTGCTAAGCTGACTCTCTGTTCAAGATGAGGAAGAAGAGAAGCAGAGCCAGATGTTCCCCACAATATACAATATACCTACCATGTGTCTCTCTCTCTTACTAACACACAGTTGACCCAAACCCACAAAATCTTCGGACGTGACCCCGTCCTTCCTCCGGCAGCCACAAATGGAAAAGCCAGCCCGACTCTGCATGGGCTTGTGTGAGGTCCGCCTTTCAGTTCACTCGTGCTGTGTATCAACTGGCAACCGAGGCCTACAACATTATTATTTCCTGTGTGATTTGTGCGTGTGTGCATGTGCGTCTCCGTGCATGCATGTGGGGCAAAGCTGTGAGCTTGATGGAAAACCTATCTAGTTTTCCTCTGTGTCACAGCAGCGGTCCCCTTAAAAAGGTTAAAAACTGGGGAGCCCGAGACAAAGGGGGAGGGAGTGATGAAGGGATGGTAACACGCTCCAAGAAGAAGTCATTCAGGAAAAAAGGTTCACCTCAATTTTAGAATATAGAGAGAATTCAGTACCACAAGTGTTTTGTCGCGCAGGTAGAAAGAGCAGCCACAGAGGAGGAGAAAACGGGAGCAGAGGAAAAGAAAAAAGCTTCAGACACGCTCAGCTCTCTAATTGTGGGCGTGTCCAGAGCTATAAGTGCCTTCGTTCTTACCTGTGTTACTTATATCCCTGCATGAGGCTCAGAACAAGCACTCTCTCACAGACACCTGTCAGACGACACACCCCTGCACTTGAGAACTCTCAGCTCTGCATCTCCAGGTAAGAGCCTTCTCCTTTTTGTTCAGTTTATTTTTTACACCAGATCTAAACTTTAATGCATTTAAACCAAATGGTGCTTTTTTAATTGCTTAATTAAAATGCTTAATTTCCTACAAACTAGATTATACTGACATTTCTAAATTTTAAGGAAGAGCTTTCATCTTTTTTCTCGCTTCCTAACATCCTGCTGTGGGAGGATTTTTCATGTATTATACAATAAGAAACATATCACAGTAAAAGCACGTCTTGCGTCATAACAAGTATCCCTAAATATGAAAAAATGCTATTTTTTATTCATTTGAATTTCTCAAAAATACCTCCAAATGATGCAGTTTGTAGAAAAGAGTTTTGCAGGGGTTTTATTTTGAAAGTCATGACTACAATTGTATCCCTTTATTTTCAAAATTATCTTTGCAAAACTAGATACATAAGGCGTACACAAAGTGAATATCATTTACACAATGGTTTTTAGGTCTTATATGAATTAGATCTTTACAATCTGAACACTGAAACTCATTTTACATCTCACCAGTGTAGCTAATTTTCAGCTAGGTTTGAGTCCCTAACATGAAAACAAACAAACAAACATATATAACACACTAATATGTATTTATTTTAGTGTAACATATTCACAGGAAGAGCTTTAGGGTTAAGGAAACAGGTTAAGTTAAAGCTAAATATTTATCTTTTACTTTTTTATTTTCAGAGAAGCCTAAAACTTTTCCCAAAGTGGGGAAATTTCTACTGTCATGCGGTCATATGTAAGCGGCTGGACTGTTGATTTGGTTGTACAGGCAGCGTTAATGGCATCCCCCAGGCCTTTCTGCCAATGCCACAGTCGTGATTCCTCGGAAGTAGAGCTGGAAAGAGCTGCAAATTTAGAGGGCAGGGGTCAGCAGCATGAAATTCCCAGGAAAACGTGAATTTAATGTTTGCACACGTGTGGGTGAAGTTGGTGGGTACGTCAAACCTACGATGTTCAGGCTCATCGATCGCAACTTGTGTTCGTCTGTGTGTGCGCTCGACATATATATTTGTGGCTGTGTACGTTCTGTGAACTTAAACGGAGTGCGTGCGTGTGTCAGCGGGTACCTGTTAAATGAAGCAGACTGTAAAGATAGAGACAGTGTTGTCTTTATTCACATCAGCCGTTACTCAACCGAGTGACACACAGGCAGACATGCAGGTTGGGAAACCACCTTGGCAGAAAGAGCAGGAGGCTCTCAGGAGGCCTTTCATTTGAGGGGAAAGTTCATCCTGAGAAGATTAAAAAAAAAAGACATCATGGCTTCTTCATGGCCCAGAAGACCAAATGCAAATCTGATTTAAGTGACGTAATGACTGGCTCCAACTTTTTTTTTTGGCATGTTCTTCAAAACCAAACAATGCCTGCTCGGCTTAAAGAGGTTAAACTCTCCAAGATTTTACAGGAAATCAGGAAATAAAATAAGACAAAGCTGAAAAACTCTTTTGTGCAGCAATAATCCTTCTGAGCCATCCTGAGGCCACTCTGATTTATTGCGCCAGTGATTGGAAACCACTGGCCCTGTGCATTTTGCATGATTTCCTTAAAAGCTGGGGACAAAACACTTCTCTTTCCTGGGTTCTTGTAGAAACATTTAACGTATCCCTCTGTTTGAACCATTCAGATGTCGCTGTGCATGACCTCACATCGCTGCCTGCTGGCCCTACCAGTGATCTCACTCCTGCTGCTCTCCTCTTCTATTGGTTGGAGCTCCGATGTCCTCACCCCAGGCTGTCACCTTTACCGTAAGTTTTAAACTGTATAGTTCAGTTTCCAGGTGCCAGCTTTTTAGTTTAAAAAAAAAAGAAGAAAGGTCTAAAGTTTGTGGAAGAGGTAACCAGAAGAAATTCACAGATGATTCGCGGATTCAGTATGCTCATACTATGGAAATTACCCCACCTTTGGCTGCACAGTTTTATGCGATGATCAATTCCCAAACCTCTTCCAGTGTGGGCTGTTTCTCAGCAGACACTGAGGCCAGTGGACACAGTTACTTTCCAAACTGTAAACCAAACAAGAACCAAATTTTTGGTGTTTTGCTTCAAATATAGGTTCACCAACCAGAATGGAAACAGTTCAGTGTTGCTGCAGTGTCCACTTAGATATACTTTTTGTTCAAAGTTAGCTTTTAGCATTAAATCCTCACAGACTTAAATTATGTCCTATTCTAGCAGCATTATCCTGACAGTGCCAAACCATACTTTTCATAATTGTGGTTTGGATCTTTTTTATTTTAACATATTTTACTTTTTCATGGATGAATAACCTCAGAGACTGAGGTCTGATTTAAACTGACTTATAGGCTTTTGCATTTATAAACATGACCGAGAAGTAATAGTCCCATAATCAATTTGTATGTACTTGTCAAAGTATCATACATCCACTTTCTTCCACTTATCCAATTCAGCGGCCCCGCGGGGTTCTGGAGTTTATCCCAGCTGCCATAGCATGAGCTGGGGTACACTCTACAGGACGCCAGTCTGTCCCAGGTCAAAATATCATTTTGACATTTTCATTGTGGACTTAAAAAGTACACTCAGCATTTTTTTTTTTTGGGAGGGGGTGGTGGTTATGTAATAAAAGGTAAATGGACTAGTTCTTATATAGTGCTCTTCTATTCACTGCACTCAAAATGCTTTATACAACATGTCTCATTTATTCATTCATTCATATATGCTCTTGTTTTCTATACCTTTTCTACCTAAGTGCTTTCTGTCTAACATTCCCACTCTGATGGACGCACTGGGGAGCAACTTAGGGTTCAGTTTACCTAAGGTTACTTGGGAGCAGCCCGGAATGCTGCCTTCTCATAAACGTATAATTCATGCATTAAAAGTACATAGGAACTGGTCTGAAGTTGGTGGAAACCACCGTGCTCCACCATGTAGCCAGAGACCCAGCACATTTGCAGTACACCAAAGCATTGCGCCAGCTAATGCTAAGCTTGAGTGTCCATTACATTCTCACAACACATGAGTGCTAATTCACTAAGTGCCAAAGTGCACCAGTGTCACTTCAAAGAAAGTTTTATTATTGTCAGCTGATAGAGGCTAACAGTAGCTAATAGACAGTACAGTAGTTAAGGGTGGCAAAGAAAAAAAGCAACGCTACCATCAGTTTAGCATATCCTCACAAATCACCACAGTAATATTCTTCAGAAGCAAGCTTCCTTGACTTGATGATTTGTATGGGACTCTTTTCACAAATTTTTGTTCACAAATTTTATAGCGTCTCCCAGTGTAAATAAAGTTGGACACTTTTCACACAGCATTGGCAGGTGAGGTGAAATGTGGAAATGGCAGCCTTCCACAGATAGGGAAAAACTCCCGGATGGATTCAGTCCAAACGGATTGAATGTTTTTTTGGCCGTTTGTCCTACAGCAGCCACCATAGCAAGGACTATGCACTTGAATTGGGAGAGGTAAGAAAACAGAACTCAGTTGATTGGAATCTGCAATCTACTGATATCTAGTGGTGAGAAAATGTATACATTGAGAACTCTTATGCATTTCATTGTATGACAGTGGGACATAACTAAGCACTCTTGGACTTAGTGCGAATGCATATCAAAGACCATGATACTTTGGGAGTGAGCTATTGGTTAGTCTTAAATTCCTGCATGGATCTGCAAACCAAACACTCACCTGTACTTTCCCCCCTCCTCCAGCCTTCAACGTGACCATCCGCAGCGACCGTCGCGGCACATGTAAAGGCACCCATCTGGTCTACGCCTGCGTGGGCTACTGTGAGTCCAGTGCCTTTCCATCCAGATACTCGGTACTGGTGGCCTCCAACTTCACCCACAACATCACTTCCACTTCACGATGCTGCACCATTAGCAAGGACGCCAAGGTAAGAGGTGGGAGATGTTGAAGAAACATTTATAGGAGCAACTACTGCTTCATTTTTACTGTTGCTCATTTTCTTTGGCTTCTCTTCACTTAGGTCAAAGTTCGCCTGGACTGCCCGCAGGGTCGTCACCATGACGAAATAGAGATCCTGACAGCGAAGGCGTGTCGCTGTGACATGTGCCGAAAATCACGCTATTGACACACAATGATATTATACTGCATACTAATGTTAACCACAATGAGAAACCAGGTTACAGTGTAGGCAGTAAAATACTGACAACTTTTCTTTTTCTGTCCATTTTGGCTTGTTTGAACAAAATTAACTGTAACTGACATTGTAATATGGTACTTTCATAGCAGGGTCTCCTTCACTAAAGTGGACCTATTATGCTTTCCCTTAATTTTGTGAAATATATATACTTTGCTTTAGTGGTGGACGCTCATATTAATTAAACTCATCCTTAATATGGTCATCAGAAGCACAGCGTTTTGGCTGTAAACATATATATAGTTTACATATATAGCACACAATTCAAATATTTTGTTTAAGACAGACAGCCAATCAGAACAAAGTGAGCCTGAGGTGAGGGGGAGGAGCTAAAACGACTTATTTCTGACAGTGGAAGAGCTGAGGGGCTGCACCAAAGCTCAGTATTAGATAATTAAAGATTAATCTGATATGTGATTCATGCAAAGCTACCCTAGTAAAGTCCAAGATCGAAAATAAGCATAACAGGAAATGAAATAACAAAAGATCCAAAATAGAAAAGCTCCCAACAGTACTAAACGTACTAAAGACCACGACACCCTGAAATTGTAGACAGTAAATTCTCTGGCTACAGATCTAACTACTTTATTACTGCATGAAAAATTCACGCTTTTTAATGTACTGTTAGTTTTTTTTGTGTAAAATGTGATGTAAGAGAAACTTGATTGACATGCTTTGAGTTTAGGCTGTAGAAACCATTCTGTCACACACACACTGCACACAAACTAAACATTTTTATAGTGTTGCCTCAGGGCTTTGAGGCTTGGCAAACACTTCATAATTCAATCATCTTTCATCACACTTTGTGACTCAGTAGCAAGTGTCAGGACACAGATATAATCAAACTCGCAGGAATGAAGTCAGATTTAGAATGACTTTAATATAAAATGAATGAAAACATAGCAGTCGATAAAACAGTCGAGTCATGTCTTTGTTGACTTGGATTAACAAAAAAGTTGAAATACCGTCTTTGGAAACAATGTAAAGCTCAAATATATGAGTAATGTCATTCTTGTAGTAACCACTAATCACAGTCATGAGACCAAAGAATGTACACAATTTATTTATATTTAAGAATCTGAACTAAAGTCATTTTGTAAATAATATCTATTGATGAAACCAAAGAATGTTGGAAATGAAAAAGAGGAACAATGCACTGTGTAATTTGTAATGAAACTGTATGTCAATAAATTTCTATTCTGCAACTTTAAAATAATTTCTGTGAATTTTCTATTTTTTTTTTCTTAACAACCACGCACAAATAAACTTAAGCGGTCACATAACATGCCTAACCACAACCTCTATCCCTAAGCTTAACTTTAAATTCAGCCTTGAATTAAGTGATAAATGCTGAGTGAGTTTGTGCTCCTATCAACCTCATTCATCACTGTCTCACTGTACACGCATCATATCAATAAACAATTCAGTTGGTAATATTACTGAGGAAATGCTTTTCTAATTCTCTGGATCTTTGACGAACAATGAGAAAGGGAAGACATGGCTGCAAAGAGAAAAAACAAAGACGTTCAGAGACTGTTGCAGTGAACAAAATGCACATTTGATAACATTAAGACAGGGTTCTTGGGCTCAACCCACAGAGCTGCTACTGTATTTCATTACCACCACGAAAAGACTTGTTAGATGGTTTGGCATGCTCGTTCAGAACATGCTCATGTCAGTCCTTGATATGCCTAAGGACATCGGGCGACTGTGAGCAGGCATTTCGCAGGAATACTGTAATTTCTGTGCTTACATGCACAGGAATTACAGCATTCCTGCAGAGTGGGACTTCCCAACCCATTGTAATCGTTGACATCTTATTTTATCAGCAGATCGACCGTACAAATCAGCTCTTGTTTCTCCCCTGGGTGTAAAAAAAAATCAATCAACTGTCTGACTGTTACCCTGCTGTGTCTGCCTGCAGCATTCAAGGAAAAACTCTACTGATGGTGTTGGAACTGCACTGTCATACTGACCTGGCCAGCTGCTTCAGAAATCCTGGTCTCACATGTGTCCCCTGCTCCTGCAGTACTATCTCAGGCTGCTTTTATTTAAAAAAGAGAAGAAAATGTACATAAATAACACACACCTGCTATAACTTGTTTTCACCACTTTTCCCATATGGTGATATAACCCCAAAAAGCATTAAAAAAAACAACAACAACCCAAAACAAATCTAAAATGTTCAAGTATGTGAATTGACCAGGACAGAGCCACAAAAGGGCATAGGAAGAGATGCATTAACTAAGCCAGTATGAGGTTTTCAGTGGTCCATTCAACAGCCAATTTGTTATGTGCACTCTTTCAACTCTTGTTAACTCAAATATGTAACCAACCAATCACATTCATTGCATCGCTCAATGGCTTTAGACGTGAAGACATGGTCCAGACAACCTGCTAAACATGTGGAACCTTAAAGCAGATGGGTTATAGCAGCAGAAGACCCCACCAGGTACCACTCCTGTAAGCTAATAATGGGAAACTGAGGGTACAATTCATGAGGTCACCATAACTGGACAATTGAAGATTGGAAAAATGTTGTCTGGTCTGATGAGTCTGATTTCTGCTGCAAAATTCAACTTGGTCTGAATGTGGTGTAAAAACATAAAAGTATGGATCCCTCCAGCCTTATATGAATGGCTCAAGTTGGTGTTAGTGGTACACAATTGGTACTCTTTGGGTCTCGTAGTACTACTTTAGCATTATTTAAACACCACAGCCTCTCTGAATTCTGTTGCTGACCACATCCATTGGTACACAACCACAGTGAGCCAATCGTCTGATGCCTGCTCCCAGCATGATAACGCAACACGTCACAAAGCTCAAATCATCTCAACCTGGTTTCTTGAACATGACAATGAGTTCTTTGTACTCGTATGGCCTCCACGGTCTCCAGATCAATCCAATAGAGTAGATTTGGGATCTGGCAGAACAGGAGACTCACATCACAGATGTTCAGCAAACAAATGTGTAGCAACCATGTGATACTGTCATGTGAAAGACTCAGAGAAAAATCTCTGAGGAATATTTCCAGCACCTTGTTGAATCTGTGTAATGAAAAATTAAGGTCGTTCTGAAGGCAAAAGCTGAGCCAAACTGATAGTAGCAAGCTTTACTGAACAGTAATAAGGTGACCAGCAAGTGCACATTTGGCTGACCAAACGCGACCACAAAATTCTTTCAGTAAGTGAAGTCCTGGGTTACTAAAACTACATGTGAAAAGCAAACTACCTCCTTAAAATAACCACAAATTTGCAGTCAACATTAGTTTAAATTGAAATTAATTTCATAAAAATGTTTGCCATCCTTCTCTTAAAGCTCGTATGTACATTAACATCATCAAGACCACAACGTTCGAACATAATTCTTTTTAAAGCTCGCAGACTTGTATCGACACTTCCTTCTCAGTGTTAAGACAATAATAACTCAATGGGCTGACATAACAAGTTTAAATCATTTTTTCCACTTGAAACAAATGCTGAAGGGGAAAAAAAGGAACAGAAGCGAGAGGTGGAAAAAGACAGAGTGGACAAATGTAGAAACAGAGGATCAGGTTAGATGAAAGGGCATGAACGAGAAAGGAACGGAGAGAGGGGTAATTTTGGATTTTACTGCTAATTAAACCAAAGCACATCACCACTCTCTCACATGCACACAACTACAGAGTTCTGTGTCTGATGTAATGCTATTATTAACCTTAATGACACTCGTTATCCTACCTGTCTGCGCTAATGTTAGCCTCGGGCTGCAATAAAGACAAAGATGCTACAAGAGTGTGTGTCAGAGAGGAAATGAAAGGGTGTTACAAGACTGACATTAGAGTTTGAAGCGTTGGAATCGGTAAACTCTAAACAATGACTGACGCTTCAATTTTACACGGAAGAGTGTGAGAATCGATCAGAAGTTACGAGTAAAACGTCGAACTGGAAAGGATCACCTTGTCAACGTGTCCTGGATCTTCTTTGGTCTTTCCCCGTGAGTGCTCACCGACCAAGTCCAACTTGCTGTAATTTAGACACAGACAACTTTAAAAGTATCTGAGGAACTTTATTATGAATACAAGAAGATCTGTCAGTCAGTTTTGGTTGCCTCGGCAATAATTGTCCTGATTTAAGTGTGTTGGTGTGATCGTTTAAGTGTGCGTTATGCTCGCTCGGCCACCACAGATCGATACCTTTGTCATCAAATGGAAATTGTTCGCCTTTGATTTTTGTGGCTCCACAGATTAAGGTGATATAGTTGAGGATTTAAAATAGGATTTAAATCTAGCCCGTCTATCAGCATTCAGTCCTTTGTGTATTTGCTTAGGATGTTGTTAAAAAGTCCAATTCCATGTCTACTTCAGTTTTTAGAAACAAGGCCTTACATAACCTTTAAATGCTTTTGCCATTATTCACAAACCGTAGTTGAATCAGTGCAAGTACCTGACCCAGTCCCTGAGGCAGAGGAACAAGCAATCAAACATTTCAACTGGCTTTACAGCTGCTTTGAGGGTCTTCTGATGAGCAGCTGTCTCACTACAGCAAACATCTCTATCGTTGAGGCCTGGTCTTTATGATTTGGTCACTTTGAAGTTTGTGTTCAGTGTCTTTCTGATTGGTGACGCATGCAAGGTGGCACAACAGCCGCAACAGTTACCTGCAGATCCCAGGATAAAATTTTGGGATTGTTGAAGGATGTTTTTTTTCTTTTCTTGGGCATGACACCCAGCCTCGAACAAACTAGCAGTCTTTAAAATATGATAATATGACCAAATTACACACTTGCATAAAAAAAAACCCAGCAAAAAATGAATGTATTCATATTAACATATACATATCCAAGATAGTAGAGAGTGGTACTGCACTTTAATGCTGGCTTTCAAAAAGTAAGGGATACACAGCAACTAGCTAACTTCTATCACCATAAGCAAACAGTCAGAACCTGGAATC